GCCAATCGAATCTGATTGGGCGCCGATCATGGAATTCACCGCCGCGGACATCTTTCAGCACTCGCCCTTTGGCGACATCCTGAAATCACTAAAGTCTCTCTCTTTATCAGGAGAGCCCTGGCCGGATTATGGTCAGGAAGGTTGGGATGCGGACAACGAAGAAATTCAAAGCCCACCCACCACCCACTTCGTAGCCACTGTCAATGATTTAACCGACATGCTCGACTTCGACTCCGAAGACATCGACGGTATGGACGACGATGCAGGAGACGATCAAGAACCAGCGCCCACAGGGCACTGGAAGGCCACCTCGTCATACGACATATACATCGTGGACATCCCAAAAGATGGGAATGGCGATGGAACAGCGGAGGATGACCCCTCCAAGAAACAGCCTAAGCGCCGGCGTCAGCGGCGCCGCTCTAAATCCCGCCACAGCAAAAACGGTGATTCCGGCACAGGAGACAATAACACCCCGGACAGTGCCGAAGACAACCCCCTCCAGCAGGACTCAGCGCAGGAGGATGGAGAAGCCAGCTGACGAATTCATCGTGCCCGAGGATCCCGTCGAACAAGAGTGTTTCAAACGCAGGCTCATGGCCACGGCAAGCAGCCTCAAGAAAAAGCAGCAACAGCTTAGAGCTGACCAAGACCTGCTAGCTGACAGATGGACTGAAGTCCTTGCGGCCGAAGAGTATGAACTCGAGCGCCCCTCCAAAAGCTACCCAAAACGTAGGCTGCTACCCCGGTTAGAGGAGGAAGCACCCAAACCTACATCACCAGCGCATGACATGGCTGACCGACCACCTCGTGGCCGCGACAGAGAGGCCTCTCGGCCCTCAACTCAAGCCGCACCCCGGTGCCGCTCAAAAAATACCAAGGTGCGGGGAAATGCGCCAGACCTGCGAGACATATTGGAGGACAAGGCAAGGCAAACAGGATCGATCTACGGATCGCGTGGGCGCCCCGCGACACGTGATGATAACCGTCACACCGGATATGGCAACTCCGGCCGGGCCGAACATAGTAGACAAAGCTCATTTGAGCTGCGTCGTGATATAGCCCAATACAGAGGCGCCGCACACCCACTATGCTTCACAGATGAAGTGATGGATCATCAAATCCCTGAGGGTTTCAAACCCGTAAACATTGAATCATATGATGACACAACAGATCCTGCAGTTTGGATCGAGGACTATCTCCTTCACATCCACATGGCCCGCGATGATGATCTACACACCATCAAATACCTCCCACTCAAGCTTAAAGGACCAGCCCGGCATTGGCTTAACAGCTTGCGAGCAGAGTCAATTGGTTGTTGGGAAGACCTGGAAGCCGCATTCCTTGACAATTTCCAGGGCACATATGTGCGACCACCAGACGCCGATGACCTAAGCCACATAATTCAGCAGCCAGAGGAATCGGCCAGACAATTCCGTACACGGTTCCTAACCAAGAAAAATCAAATCGTCGATTGTCCGGATGCAGAGGCCCTTGCAGCCTTCAAACACAACATCCATGACGAGTGGCTTGCCCGGCACCTAGGACAGGAAAAGCCGAAATCCATGGCAGCCCTCACAACACTCATGACCCGCTTTTGCGCGGGAGAGGACAGCTGGTTAGCTCGTAGTAACAACATGACCAATAGCCATGGTAATTCAGATACCAAAGACAACAATGGCAGGTCGCGTCGCAACAAGCACAAGCGCCGCATTAACGGCGATAATGCTGAGGATACGGCAGTCAATGCCGGATTCAGAGGCTCTAAACCCGGTCAGCGGAAAAAGCCATTTAAAAGAAGTATTCCGGGCCCGTACAATTTGGATCGAATACTCAATCGCTCGTGCCAGATACACGGCACCCCCGAAAAACCAGCCAATCACATCAACAGGGATTGTTGGGTGTTCAAGCAGGCAGGCAAGTTAAATGCCGAAAACAATGACAAGGGGCTGCATAGCGATGACGAGGAGGAGCCCCAGCCGCCGAACAATAGAGGACAGAAGGGCTTCCCCCCACAAGTGCGGGCGGTGAACATGATATACGCAACCCACATACCCAAAAGGGAGCGGAAGCATGCACTAAAGGACGTATATGCGATGGACCCAGTCGCCCCAAAGTTCAACCCGTGGTCTTCCTACCTGATCACTTTTGATCGGAGGGACCACCCCACTAGCATCCGCCATGGAGGATTCGCCGCATTGGTTCTAGACCCAATCATTGACGGATTTCATCTCACTAGAGTCCTAATGGACGGCGGCAGCAGCCTGAACCTGCTTTATCAGGACACAGTGTGCAAAATGGGCATAGACCCATCAAGGATTAAACCCACAAAGACGACCTTTAAAGGCGTCATACCAGGTGTAGAGGCCAACTGTACAGGCTCAGTTACACTTGAAGTGGTCTTCGGATCCCCGGATAACTTCCGAAGCGAGGAGTTAATCTTTGACATAGTCCCGTTCCGCAGCGGCTATCACGCACTGCTCGAACGAACCGCAATTGCAAAGTTCAATGTGGTGCCGCACTACGCATATCTCAAGCTTAAGATGCCAGGTCCTCGAGGAGTCATTACGGTCAATGGAAACACCGAACGCTCTCTCCGGACGGAGGAGCATACGGCGGCCCTCGCGGCGGAAGTACAAAGCAGCCTCTCAAGGCAATTCTCGAGTCCGACTGTTAAACGTCCGGACACCGTCAAGCGCGCCCGGAGTAACCTACAACAAGACCGCCTGGCACGTTCCGAGCACGCATAGCAATGCGGCCCAAACCCCATCCCTCGCGAAATTGCGAAACCAGTACTACACGTACATAATTACGCTCTGTAAATACCATGGGCATAGGGGGAGGGGCACGACCAGGGCATGCCCAGAATGCGGCTCAACCGCACCAGGGGCTCCCGATTGTGTCATTCTTTTCTTCTTTCTTTTTTACTTTCAGGACTCCGTTCTCACGAAGCCCTGTCCGGTAGTAGAATCACCGAACACACGATGCAACAGCCAGGGAAGCAGAAAGCTACGTCGAGTGTCCAGGTGGTCTCTATTACGAGCAGTATACCTGTTTTACACACCATCCCGCAGCTTACCCCTGGAGGGGGACATGTCAAAAAGTCATGTCCCTTGCTTATCGCACTATTTGTATCGTTCTGCTCTTACTGCAGCCCTTTTGAATAAACAATACATAGCTTCTGCCTATTATTGAATTCCCTTTTTTCTACATATATATATATATATATATATGTGTGTGTGTGTGTGTGTGTGTGTGTGTGTGTGTGTGTGTGTGTGTGTTCATTTATGACATTGTGCAACCGTACACTTTGGTACGGGCAATACACCAGGGGCTTAAGTACCCCACAACATGGTGTGATAAGTCCGAACACTTTCACAAGTGCGGCACCCCGAACTTATAGCATTATATGCATCAGCTCCGAATCATGTCTTGGGTCAATAGTTGGATTTTCCCGGATCCCATGTTTTGGTACCTTATGTTCCGTTATATCGGCTAAGGTAGCGCTGGAAGAACCACTGCGATTGTGCCCCGCTTGAGCTGGGTTAAGCACCTCAGTGGAGAAAGCTAAAACTGACCGTCATGATAGGGCGAGAGCCGGTCACTGTTCGAGAGGTTTTCGAGTCCCTAAAGACTTATGCCGCTTAGAGCAAGGAGTCGGCATTGTCCGGCCTAGGCATAGATAGCGCCCCGAACTCGGTCTTCCGAATACTAAGGGCTTCGCCGAAATTTAAAATTATAGAATTCTATGGCTAAGTGAGAGTGTTCAAGCATTATAGTCCGGTTGCCTTGTTCGTTGCATTGAGCTCCTCCCTCGAAGGACCCAAGAATGGGAACAAGAGCGCTCAAGTTTATCCCAAACACCCCAGCACTCGTGGCATGGGGGCTGAAGCCGACGACTCGCCATATCTCAAATTTAATAGACGGCCGCACAGAAGGTAATATTTTAAATTCAAAAGTGTTGCTTAGCGCATATGAACAAGTTTTCAGCGCACAGGATAACAAATGCGAGTGTACTCAAATATTACATCTTTGGAACATTCCTCCGCTATAAGGAGGGCACCCTTCAGGACGCCCTCATAATACATTTCAGGCTTGCGATGCTCCTTGCGTGGTGGTGGTCCGTCCGTCACAAGCTTCTCAGCGTCCATCTTGCCCCAGTGCACCTTAGCAAGGGCAAGGGCCATACGGGCACCTTCGATGCAGATGGAGCGCTTGACGACGTCAATCCATGGACAGGCGTCCACCAACCGCCTCACCAGCCCGAATTAGCTCCCAGGCATGGTTTCCTTAGGCCACAACCGAACTATGAGGCCCCTCATGGCCTGTTCGGCCACCTTATGGAGCTCGACCAGCTGCTTCAACTGGTCGCTTAAGGGCACCGGGTGTCCGGCCTCAGCATACTGAGACCAGAACACCTTCTCCGTCGAGCTTCCCTCCTCGGCTCGGTAGAACACGGCAGCATCAGACACACTGGGGGGCAGATCTGCGAATGCTCCTGAAGAGCTCCGGATTCGGGTAAGTAACAGATAATTCACTTTCACATGCTTGCTTTGCATATAGAATGCCTTACCCGCCGCTATCTTCTTCATCGCCTCAATTTCCTGGAGGGCTTTTTTGGCTTCGGCCTTAGCGGCTTTGGCGCTCTCAAGGGCCGAGGCGAGCTCGGACTCTCGAGTCTTTGAGTCACGCTCCAAACTCTCGTATTTTTCCACGAGAGCCTGGAGCTCTTGCCGCACCTCCTCCACCCGCGCCTCCTGCTTCTCTCGCTCGGTGCGCTCCGCGGCCGCATTGCTTTCGGCCTTGGACACCGCTTCCTTCAGGGTCGCCACCTCGTTCGTGGCCCCTGCAGTATTCACATTATTCCTGTCATCTTCTGCAACCACATCTTTTAAATACTCCCATAAGGTATTTGCTTACCTTCCTTGTCCTCGAGCTGCTTTTACAGCCTCATGCGGTGTTTGTCTACTACTAACTATTTGTGTAACCAACTTGCCTAGGTACCTAGTAGTAATTGATGACATATGGCATCATGGAGAATGGGAGATCATCAGCAAGTCTATTCCACAAAATAATCTGGGCAGTAGAATTGTCATGACAACCCGTATTGATTCTGTATCAGATGATATCGATTATAACAAGCTCTGCATCAGAATGAATCCTGGATGGAGTTTTGAAGAGGAAAGATGGTTCTACGGACCTCATGTGCAAGATTTCACCGCTTGGATGAAGCCTGACATGGTTGGAGAAGGTTTTGACCGCGACCATCCTATTGTGCGCATGTGTTGTTGTCTGCCGTTAGCACTACTTTGCATGTTTTCAGCAATGGCAATTGTCAGAGAGCAACAAGAACAACTAGGGGTACATGTAAAGGCACGTGATGTGCAAGACATGATTGAGAAGCAAGTTAAGAAAGGTGGAATTCAGAACACTCCAGGGTTCGAACCGTTGGTGGAGAGCTTGCAGCTTGGCTACGATGATCTTCCTCACCATATGTTGAAGACATGTTTGTTGTACTGCAGTATATACCCTCAGAATTACCGTTTTGACATGAATGATTTGGTCATGAGATGGGTCGCTGAAGGATTTACTTATAAAGAGGATACAGGAAAATGTTACTTCGAAGAGCTTTGCAACAGGGGATTTATGCTGCATGTGGATGATTCATTGGGCATGTCCTACTACCAAATGAATCATCCGATGATGCGAAATTTCCTTAGATGGAAATTGCATGAAGATAAATTCTTTACTAGCAGTTCCGGCATCACATTGGCATATTCCTGTCAAATACATCATCTATGTATAGACGATTATCCAATTGATGATGGTGCAGCGGAGGGAGTGGATCCCTTGTTAGGCTTGGATTGGTCTCGGATTCGATCTCTTGTTGTTTTTGAAGGTGCCAAGAGATATATCCCTTTTGAGAAGTTGAAACATGTGCGAGTGTTGGATCTTCAATATCATCAGCAGTATCTTGAATTCGAAAAGGTTCGTCGGGATTACCATTATGGGAATCATCATGTGAAAGATATATGTGGACTTCTCCGTCTGAGGCACCTATTCGGCCTAGATGGGACGGGAATTAATGTGATAGCACCAGAAATAGCGAGGCTGCACTATTTGGAAACTTTACAGATAAGATTCACATGGATCACAGAGTTACCCAGCGAGATTGGGGACCTCCCGCAATTGAAGATTCTAGACGTGAGTCACAGCAAAAAGCTGGCAAAGCTGCCTAGGGAGATAGGGGATCTGCAGCATTTAGAGACTCTGGACCTGAGCTATAGCAGGCCTAGCTAGAAGGCTGCCTGCTGAGATCGGGAAGCTCCATAATTTGGATAGTCTGAACCTCCATTACACAGAGCTCAAAGTGCTGCCTCACCAGATTGGGAAGTTGCAACATTTGAAAACACTAGACATGTGTGGGGCAATGTTCACAAGGCTACCCACTGAGATCGGGGACCTACAACATTTAGAGACCCTGGACCTGAGTTACAACAGATGGCTCAAAAAGCTGCCTCGTGAGATTGGGAACCTCCAGAATTTGAAGCGGCTGCTCTTGCGTGGTGAATTGGTCGTGAAGATACCAAGTGAAATCGGAAGGCTAAAGAATCTGGAGATTTTGAAACTAGACGCGACCATCGGTGCACTATCCTGGGAAGCTAGTCAGCTTTCGAAATTGGAAGGAGTGCCCGGGTGCGTCCGCAAAGCCTGGAACAAGAGTGATCTTGTGTCTGAGTTAGCCGGGGAGATCCTGTCAGTTCAAATGGCGCGTTGGGTTGGCGATCGCGGGGGCCTAATCGTTGGCACGAAGCACATGCACATTCCACGGTGGATCAAAGATCACTTCAACGACCTTGCCACCTTGAATATCAGGATCTACAAACTAGAGGAGGAGCAGGATCTCAAGATTCTGCGGGAGATGTCCAACATGGACAAACTTACGCCTATAGCCATCAGCGGTGAAGGATTCCGGAGGCTCAAGCAACTCGTTATTGACAGCCGGTGCATGCCACAATTTACCTTCCAGGAAGGAGCAAAGAAGCCCAGGAACATCCCAATCAGATGATGTTTGATGTCTCTGGCCACGAAGAGGAGTGGTTTCCAGCGAAAAAGAGCACACAGGTTCCACAAGCTACCAGCAGTGGGGCCGGGAAGATCGAGAAGGAGCGTGATTGATTTCCTGCCGAGTATTGTATTGGCACCACCAAGGTAGGCAATCCACACGTGTGGCTGGGTTCCGACTTGGTATCAATCTTGTTGGATCTTTCTTCCTTTCTACTCCCCCGTTCCTAAATATTTGTCTTTTTAGAGATTCAAATAGAATATCGGATACGGATGTATCTAGACATATTTTAGAGTGTAGATTCACTCATTTTGCTCCGTATGTAGTCACTTGTTGAAATCTCTAGAAAGACAAATATTTAAGAACGGAGGGAGTACTTTTTACCAACAGACGGTCGTCTTAATTTGCAGGTTATTCCGTCCGTCGTTATTTATTCACGCATGCTTGTTTCCTAGTTGGTTTGCCGTAAGGCACCTGTATCTGTATCTGTATTGTCGTCCTGTGTGTGTTTATAATAAATAACCCGAAATCTCAAAAGTGCACGCGCACTTTTTTGCGAGACCGAGCGGCCGGCTGTCAACCACACGATTTCAATCACACGCGTGCATCCCCACTTCAGATGTCATCTGGTCGGGAGCCCACATCGTCATCCCATTCCAGCCAGCCGGCCTGCCCACCATCCACCCCGCTGTCTCTCACTGTCTCGCATCTCCCCAAATTCATCTGGATCCAGTCGCCGTCGGCTCCTCCGAGCGCGGCCCTCTCCGGATCCGCATGACCGCATCCACAAGCCGGCCTCCTCCTCTGGCTCGACCCCGAGATCCCCCACCCGGAACCTTCCCGGCGACGGTGCGGTCTAGGCCGCCGTGGAGCCATGGATCTAGGCCATGGCCCTCCCTGCTCGTACCTCCATCCCCTCTACCACGGTGAAGACGAGGCCCTAGCACGGTCGTCTTAATTTGCAGGTTATTCCGTCCGTCGTTATTTATTCATGCATGCTTGTTTCCTAGTTGGTTTGCCGTAAGGCACCTGTATCTGTATCTGTATTGTCGTCCTGTGTGTGTTTATAATAAATAATCCAAGTTAGGGGCCGAAAACTCTATACCTAGTATATATGCTTTATTATGCACTTGCTACCAAAACTCTGCTATATATTGTGTAGCAATAATAAATGTGATAATTGTGTGTAATCTAAATTTCAGGTTATTGTATAATTATTTTCTATGTTGATCCTTGCCTTGTGCTACGTACCTTTTAGCAGCTACTCTCCGTCTCATAAGGCCGTTTTTAAACACTAGTGTAGTATAAAAAACGCTTTATATTATGGAACGGATGAAGTAATTGGCAACTTAGACTTGCTCCCCCCCTTGTAAAGCAGAGGAAGGAAGCAGATTCCTACAAGTCACCGCAAAATTTTGTATCTTCAACCTACCGATTGCCTCCATCGAACAGGAGGCGAAATACATGTACATATCTGCGCCGAGGTAAAAATAAAATAAAATAAAAAATCTTGCATTGGCATCCTCGCCGACACTTCTCTTCAATAAAAGCTTGCCATAGGCACAGACCCGTCTGCTGGCCCGTCGACCGGCCGCAGCTTGATCTCGCAAAGCTTCGGCCACAAATTCCTGGTCACTGAGCAGAGTGGAAGTGTTAATTAGAGAACCACCTCGAGGCCTCGATCTTAGGACGAGTACAAAAAATATATATATACTCACCAAACAATCTGTTGTTTTCTTCGTCCCGAGCAATAGCATTTACAACATCAATATCCTGGAACATGGAATACAATTACGCAATGAACCATCATCATAGATCACTCACCGTGTTGCCAGAATTCCACAATTGATGCCTGCGAAATTGCAAGGACACACGCATCAATTATTATTTCAAATACAGACACTACACACAAAACAGAGCAATTTTATGAAGGAACTCAGTGGGCAAGAAAATGGGCATAGAACAACATCAGTGATTTCTACTAGGTAGATATCTCAGCTCCTGAAGAAAGATCCAGCTCACCACCTGGCCATCTTGATGAGAAACTCTAGCTATGCAATATGTCTACACATCATAGCTTTGAATACAGATAGTTTCCAGTTCCCAATATTCTAGCATATTCGTAGGCAGTTCAATATTGTAGCTTACCTACCAGAGATCCATTGATGATGATGATGATGATAGTGGTGTAAATTATATCTATCTTTTGGGACCAGGGCCTGGATTACAAACTCAACACTCCGGCGACTTCACCTTTGTGGACCTCGACTGAACTCTGGCTACCATCGAGAAGTGAAGGCAGAAGGCAGTGGACAAAGATGGGAAATCAAGCATCTGCTTTGCTTTGTTTGCCTGTCATCGTTGTTGCCTGTAGCTAGCTTTCCTCTTCTATGCTCTGTTTTCTGAACTCTAAATACTTGCATGTAGCTTCCTCTGCTTTTGCTCTGTTTTCTTTTTTTTCAAAAAGGGGGTTTGCCCCGGCCTCTGCATCAGAACGATACATACGGCCATATTATTGATAATCAAAAGGTTCAACATAAGTGTTGAGGTCTCAAACAAAAGGATAAAATATTCACAAAGAGCATGAATGCAAAAACAGGATAGCCACAACCGGCAGGCAAAACATAAGATAGGAAACTAAACACCTATCCTATTTACATGACCGCCATCAAAACCGGTTGAAGATAACCCATGCTACCGTCTCCCATCGGATAGATCCAGTAACCAAATGCTCCCTGGCCTCCGTTGGAGTGAGTAGCGACCACATACGGATGAGTGTAGTGGCCCGGAAAATAACCTGCAAGAAATGAATATTTGTTGTTCTGTTAAAACCCAAGTCGTTTCTGCAGTTCCAAACTACCCATAATAAAGCACATACTCCTACATGGATATGTCTCGTTGTTTCTGCATCAATCCATCTAGCCACGTCCCAAATAACGTGTTGATAGAATTCGGAGGAGTAATATTAAAAGCTATGTGGACCGACCTCCACAGAATTTTTGCCAATGGGCAGTCAAGAAAGAGGTGTTTGATTGATTCATCACTATCACAGAAACTACATCTTTTAGATCCAGTCCAGTAGCGTTTCGCCAAATTGTCCTTCGTTAGAATGACTTGTTTGTGGACAAACCACATAAATACTTTGATTTTTAAAGGCACTTTAACTTTCCAAACATGTTTCGAATGAGGAATAGCGCTAGTGTTGATAATATCCAATACATGGATTTAACCGAGAACTCATCATTCTTAGCTAGTTTCCAGCGCAACTGATCGGGCTATTGAGAAAGGTGGACATCCATCAATCTTCTCACAGATGGAGCCATGCTTCCCAACGGTTTCCCGCTACTGTCCTCCTGAATTGAATATTAAGAGGGTTGGACTGTAATACAGTTGCAATGTAAGCATCTCTTTGCTGAACAATATTATATAGATAAGGATATTTGAGTGCAAGGGGCGTCTCCCCTAGCCATGTATCCTCCCAGAATCTTGTGGAAGTACCATTTCCAATTATGAATTTTGTCCTGTTAAAAAGACTGATTTCACTCTCATCAGTCCCTTCCAAAAGGCAAATCAGTCGGTCTTACTGTCACCTGGGACAAGGTTTTGGACTGAAGGTACTTATTACGCAGAATCTGGGCCCATGTCACATCTGTCTCAACAGATAACTTATACATCCACTTACTGAGAAGACATTTGTTCTTCACCTCTAAATTTTCAATGCCTAGACCCCCTTGATCTTCCGGCCTACAAATGATATTCCACTTAGCGAGTCTGTATTTTCTTTTTAATTCGTCGCTCTACCAGAAGAAGCGCGATCGATAGAAATCTAGCCTTTTTCGTACTCCAACTGGTACTTCAAAAAAGGACAAGAGAAACATAGGCATACTTGTGAGAACTAAATTAATCAGAATCAGTTGTCCTCCGTATGACATAAGCTTGCCCTTCCAGCAGCTCAGTTTTTTTCAAATCGATCTTGAATGCACTTCCACTTCTTGTTCTTCTTTAGCTCTTCCAAAGCAGAACAATTCACTTTTATAGAAGTTAATCTTTAACACCGATAATTGTTCGAACAAGCACAACACCAGCTTCATGTTTCTAGCTTTAGCCAAATCATGCTCCATGAAGATGATAGTATCATTAGCGTACTGTAGGATAGACACTCCTCCGTCAACTAAATGCGGAACGAGGCCACCTACCTGGACATCATCCTTAGCCCTTCCTATTAGGACTGTCA